ACATGGGAACTGTCTGGAACACCAAACCCTTGTTTGTCAAGAATAAACCTGGTGAGTCATCATGTGAGGGTGCTGATTAATGCCTTGCACTTAGAGCAAATGAAGGATACATGTCATAATATGAGTTAAGTCACTAATGGCTCAGGAAAAATAATGCTTTAGAGAGATTAAGGCACTAAGGAAGGCAATTAAACAGGCAGGCCCATCAGCACCAAAGTTTTACGTATTTGATAAAGTCACTTTGCCGGAGTCTTTAGTCATAAATTACTTTTCATGAAACCAGCACTTGCTTTTTTTTTTTTTTTTGCTAAAAGAATGCCCACCATAACTCAGAAATGCCTCAAGTGAGAGTGAATCTGGATAATATCCAGGTGAATGCAGGTAGAGTCCTTAGCATGAGGCAAGAATATTTATTTTTTATTCCCATTTCCATTTCACATGCATGTCAGTCATGCCAACAGAGCTTCTACAAGCACCATGAGAATAACGGATTTAATGGAAGAATTATTATTTGGATGTAGGAAGGAAAAATGTTGACGTGGGCACCAGAGAATTGGAAAGTCACTAGACCTATCCACCTGCTGTGCCACGAGGGTGGGCTGATCAGAGCTTGCAAGACAACAGATGAAACTGTGTGCAACTGGCTGCCAGGACAGGACCCCAAAGGTGTACCTCCTGGAAAGGCCTGGGAAAGTGCCACCTCTGTGGACTTGTTGTCCCTTTGAAATTCACCTCCACCTGCAGTAAAACACCCGACAATGGTTCTGAGGCTGCCATTGTGGCAGAGAGCGATGAACCCAGAAGAATTGCAGGAGCCACAGAAAGAGAGCAGGGACTGCTTGAGGCTCACCACGAAGCTCTGTGTTCATTCCTCCCATGCCTGCCTGCTCCACCTATGAGAGGGTGGCCTCTGCTTCACTTCCTCTTCCCAAATCTCACACAAATTCATCTCATGGCCCTAACTCAAACCGTAAAAAGAAGGGAATCCTGGGCAAGGCAGTTCTCTGCCTTAGAAAGGGAAGCAATGTCAATTTAACAGGACGATGTCAGTCTACAAGTCCTGAGGTCATATGGGGCTCTGCAGTCAGACCGTGTTCCAAACATGGCTCTACCACTTACCAGCTCTGTATCCCTGACAAATTTCTTAGCTTCATGAAGATATTGTCCTTCATATGTAATATGGATGTAATAAAATGATCCAACTCATGAGGGTGAGATAAGGCTCACATAAAGCTGAAGTAAGTCATGTAAAGGGCTCTGTTCTAGCCCCAAGCAACAACATTATACCACTTACCCTATAATGACAAGGGTATTGAGTCCAATGGTATGGTCTCCTGCATTTGGGACTGCAGAAATTGGTCAGGATTATCCTGATTAACAGGTAGAGCTGTCTAATCTGCTCCATATTTAGTCCTGACAAGATGGCATGGTCTTGGGAGTATACCTTTATCTTATCTCTCCAAGCATAAGCCCTAGTCAGCATATTTCATGAGGAAATGTGCTTGGATTCCAAGAAAACTGTCTAGGTTAGCTGTGTACTCAGAGTGACATACAGAAGAAGTGGAGATGACATTCAATATGCTGTTTGACTTGAGAGGTGCCACAGAGAGATTGACTCACTGTCAAGCTAGATATGAGGAACTGCCTGAATTTAACATGTGAGTTGCTTCTGATGAGATGTAGTCAACTCAATCCTCATCAATCCAACAGCATGTTTGTATACTCTCTCTCTCTTTCTCTCTCTCTCTCTCTCTGCTTAATCAGCTAAGAATTTCCATGAAATCATAAACGAATAAGTGTCAGATACCAATGACAGGCATTAACTATTTAAGCAAATACAGTAATTAAAAATTAAAATTTAAAGTTATTTTAATATAAGGGATAAATATGACATAATTCATGCCTTCACAAAGCTTACAATCTAACAGATTGGGACAGGAGGTAGAAGCAAGCTCAGATATCATGCAGATAATGAGAGATAATGAGTACCTGACGCACACTGCAGTGGATCCCCTAGGACAGGAAGAGCTCAAGTGTCAGCCCACATGCAACCTTCTCAAAAAGCCTGTGTCCAAACTAAAAGAATCCACCCTTCTTTGTTACAACACTGTTTTAACTTTGCTCACAGACATCGCCAAGATTGGTGACTATGTTCTACATTATTGTCTCCTTCAACTGGAAGATGAACTCAACAAGATGAGAAAATTTATCTCACTTTTTTGCTACTGCAAGATAGTGCTTGTCATGTAAGAGATGTTCAATCACTAACTGCTAAAAGAATGAGTATTCACTGATGAGCGGGGAAGGCTTCATAAAAGAAGTGATACTGTTTGAAAAATGTGTTAAGAAAGGGAAGATTTCAGTAAGTAGAGTTTGGAGGGATAGGAAGGGGTGAAAGTGGAAGAAAGGAACAGAAGAGGTAGATGTCTTGAGGAGATGACAAACATATCTTGGAATAATACAAGTACTAGTGCTGGTTGAAAGCCATGGAACCACATGGAACCCAAGTGTGCTATGGCTGAAAGGACAGCTGAGTTTATGTCAGGAACTGAGAACCACTGTGCTTGGGGGATTCACACAGGTGACCACAAGGCACTAAGCTGCCACATCAGTACATGAGCTCCCAATGAGAACAAACTCTTCTAGCTTGAATGCAGTAATTTGCTTATAGCTGTGGCACAGTCTGTTAACTCCAAATATTCAGACCCAAGCATCCTTTGGGGATCATATAATTCTTAAACCTAAGTTATCTGGTACTTGTAATGTTAAGCAATGAAGAATGTGAGAACTTTCTATGTGACCTCTCTCTGTGTATCCTTTTACACTATTAGAAGCAAAAGACTCCTAGATGACGGAAGAGCAGGATGGAAGAGGCCAGGGCCCTGAGTCACTGCCTGGAGAAGAATCACTCAAGAAAGTTTCTGATCCACATCAGACTGATACAAGTGAGGGATAAGCCTTTGATGTTGTTATAAGCCAAAGACTTGGGGGTATGGTATTTACTTTACTACACCTTAGACCAGACTAGCCATACTAATTTTTTTAAAAAGCACTTTTATCCCTTTTGGGGGAGATGACAGGGAAGTAGAAGCTCAGCTTTGATTAAATCTTAATATATGCTATAATCATTATGGGCTGCCATTTAAATAATTTAGCTAATCACACTAATGACCCTGCTTTAAACCTATCGCTCCCATTCAAATTTGGCACATCACACTGTACTATCTGTACTATCTGTACTATATGGTATTGATTTTATCACAACTTCCTATAATCATAGTCAGTATACTTCTATTCAGGAAGTGAAGTTTAAAATACTTATTATTTTAATGGATTACAGAATCTGACAGTAAGGACTATCAAATTTCCCTCTATATTTTTGACCATCTCTTCTTCCTCCTATGATTTCTATAATGAACCTTCTGTCAACTTCTGGTTAATACAAACAACTTGATCCAGCAAAGTTATGAAATTTGATAGGAGGAGAGAGTCAAGGAGTCAAACAGCACTGGAATCTGTGTGAAATCCAGTGTGCCTAATACCTAAGGGGGCACTGACCCCCAGAATGCCAGGTGAGAACTGCTTGCTGGAGTGTGATCCCTTGTGATCCCTCACATAGAATGTTACAGCTAAATCAGCTGTGTGATTTGAAGGCACTGTGAGAGATGTAGCAATAATCTAATATCAAAATGAAGTATAAATGCCAACCCCCTCAAATATAAATGGATCAAATTAGCCCACGCTGTTTGAGCAGAGTAAGTAATTCTTCACAGAAAGACACAAGCTGATTAGTGCACATATCAGAGTGTCATCTTCTGAGTACGGAGTAACTTCTGACCTTAGACCCTCTGGTTCATTTCAGTTGTGTGCCTTTGCATTCACATTTAACATGATTTCCAGATAATTGGCAAAATGATTCAAGATACTGGTTCAATAATTGGATAAGCAGTTAAACTTGAATTTAGGGAGGAGACTAAAGAAATGTAAATATTTTATATTCATTTAAGCTCAATTATTGTCGTCAAAATTTAAGTAAGCAAAGCTCTAACTCCAAGGGTCTAACGTTCTTTCTGGTATGAATTTTTCAATGAGCTGTGTATGTGTGTGTGATCCATGTTCACTAATGAAAAACAGAAAGAACTGAGAAGAAAATCACTAGGGATCCTGCCATTCAAAGTCATCTACTGAATATTTTTCTGTATATTTTACAGAATTAAGATATTAAAAATATTATATTGTAAATATGTGTAAGCAATTTTTTCCTTTTTACAATATGTACTATATTTCCCCCCAAATCATCAAAATTCCCCTCTTAGAATGTTTTTGAAGATGCATAATAATCCACACTTATCAATATTTATTTAATCCCACATATGGTTATTACTGCCTAATAGTTTTTTTTTTTTTTTTTACATTTTAAAAGGACAGGTTTATTAGGAAAAGGAGGGGGAAAAAAAAGACCACCTGCACAGTCACATACAGGCAGTCTTGGGAGCAGAGCTGCCTAGATTATTTTTAAAAGTATATATACATTATAAATACTTTGCGATATAGCATCACATCTACATAAATATATATTTTCTGTGTTTCAAGTTACTAATCTAGAGTATATTCACAGAAGTCAGATATTTATTCAGAGGAGATAGTCCATTTTTAAAATAGAATTTTGGTCAAACCAATGCTTTTCTCAACAACAACTAATTGTGGAAAATTATAAACACTCATGCTCTATCTACCAGAAGATAATCACCTCTGTGTCTTCCTAATTGATACATATATTTCTTTTTATATGCAAATATAACCTCAAATATAATGGTATTAGAATGAAGTGATTACTTTTGTGCTAAAATGTTGTGGTATCCCTTTCATTCTAGTCTCCAGAGTCCCCACGGATGGGGCAGGTAGGTGGGAAATTAAATGCCCAATCCTGAGGACTGAAGGACAGGAGACAGCAGCATGCTGGTTATGTTTCAAGCAATCTGCTCTGAGCAACCACCTACCTTACTCCTCCATAGGCAGTCTTTTCCTCTCGGAACTCATTAGAAAGACTCTGTCATTTCATTTCCAAAAGTATTCCGCCCAGCAGGATTGGCACTTCTCCAGATACCATGAAGTTCACAGAAATCAATGTGGTGGTGGTGGCCCATTCCAAGAATAATCACTTTAAAGACTCCCTGAATATATAAAATCAATAACAGAGCATGTCAATGCAATCTGTGTAATTAAATCACTCCCAAGTACCCTCATTTTTTTTCTCTAAACAATCTGATAGGAGTCTGAGCTGACAGAATCTCTACAAGGTATCGTGCTGAACTCCAGAAGGGCCAAGGCTGGATTCACACTCATCATGTTTCTGCGATAGCCAGGACTTCAGATCTCAGGCCAGAGTCAGAGCTGTGCCTACACTGGGAGAGGCCGGGGGAGGACAGACGCTCCTCCTCTTAAGAGAGTGGCAGGTTGTGCAGCCTGGTAAGCATCTAGCCACATCAAAGCCAGTCACTGACTGTGACCTCTGCCAGCAAACCGTGGCTGGTGCACACTTGAAGGGATGAGTGGTGGTAGGCTAACCTGTCACCCAGGTGTTGGGATCCATCCTTGGTGATTTTTCCTGTGTGTGTCAGTCTTGAGATTAGGCATCAGTGGGTTAAAATATAATGAATGCGTTTGGTGTAAGTGGCAGAGAGGAGCACAAATGTAAGCAGGAATAAGCAAGAGCAGAACTCCTGTAGTCAAGGACGGGGCTGACAGAGCTACAGGTCTCCAGACAGGACCACTGACAGAAGAGAACAGAGTGGGGATAATTAGGAGAAGCTTCCTGGAGAAGAGTGTTTTACATGAGTTTTTAAAACAAAGAGGAGCAGGAACTCTGCTTCTGATAATGGGAGATTAAATATTTCAGACTGGGCCTCCCTAGTGGCACAAGGGGTTAAGCACGGCACTATGAAGCTATCTGCAGCCTCTGCAGCACGAGCTGGACCCCAGGCCAGCCAGGGAGCTACCCACATGGCAAGGCAGACCTCTCCTGTCTCACCTGCTGCTCCCCTCAGCAGTGTATTTCAGTAGATCTGCCTGTTCCGTTCCCCACTCTGTCTCTGGTGAATCCTCTCACCCCCATACCTCTGGCATGTACCCCAGCTCTTGTATGCATAAATAAATAAATATCTTAAAAATAAATATTTCAGACTAACTTCCCCACTGAAGACAACCAGAAATAATGAGAGAGAGAAAGTCTGTATGTGTGTGTGTGTGTGTGTCCCAGATAATCTCCATATATCTCAGTATTAAAAAGCATGCTTGTGTATAAACCATGGATTAATCAGGAAATTAGAAATATTTGAACCAAATAATAAAAAGTATAAACATCAAAATTATATCATGAAGCTAAAGGTGTACATAGATATTTATGACTGGAAATAAATATAAGTTAATAAAAGAATGGTAAAATCATTCATCTAAGTATTAACAAATGTTAGTCTCAAAACAGAAAAAGTAAACTGAATTTAAAGTAAAGGTAAGCAAGCAATAAAAATATGAGCAGAGGGGCCTCCCTGGTGGCGCAAGGGGTTAAGACGCAACCTATGAAGCTACCCACAGCCACTGCAGCATGAGTTCGATCCCCGGCCAGGGAGGTGACCCACATGGTGCAGTAGACCTCTCCCTTCAGCAGTGTTTTTCAGTCCATCTGCCTGTTCTGTTCCCCACTCTGTCTCTGGTAAATCCCCTCACCCCCCACACCTCTGGCCTGTACCCTAGTTTTTGTATGCATAAATAAATAAATCTTTAAAATATATATGAAATAAAAAAAATTAAAATATGAGCAGAAGTGAAATAAAGAGAAAAGGCTGGTTTTATAAAAAGACTAATAATGTAAACCATGACAAGAGAGATCAAGACTTTAAAAATTGGAACACACAGAAATAACCAAATCAAGAATGAACAAAGCTATGCCACAAAATAAGGATATTACATAAATGTATTCAAACAAATTCAAAAGTTAGGTGAAATAGTCAAATTCCTAGAAAAGCAAAACTTTTAAAAATTACAGAATAGATCTATGAATTCCTATAACTATCAATGAAATTTAATCCTTAATTTAAAACTTGCCAATATAGATTCAGGTGGCTTCTTACATAAATTTTACAAAATAATCAAGGAAGGAATAAAACAATTTTTAGAACATTTCCTGAAAGTAGGAAAAAATGAAGCAATACTTACCAACTCATTTAATGAGGTTAGAACAAAATGACAAATATTCTAAACAAAATATTAGTCTACCAAACACAGAAATACATAAAAAGGATAATACATCCAGAGCACATTTATTCCAGAAATGAAAGGTTGATTCACCAGTTGGAACGGATCAATGTATTTTACTACCTTCATAAAATAATCATATAGTAATTTTAGGGATGTAATAAATACATACATGCACTATTTGGATGTAAATAAATGGATGTAATAGATAAATGGAAAGATTTATTAAAATCCAACATCTATTCATAATAAAACTCTTAGCAAAAGAGAAATAGAAGGGCATTTTCTAAACATCCATACCTCCTAATAAAGTACCTTCCCCAAGACTGTCTCTGAATCTCCTTGACAATATTTCCAATACTCACATTATAGGAGCTTTGGGATCTTGGGCCGCAAATGAGTATAGGATCCATCCAGGATCCCTCAAGTGATTCACAGTAGGGCAAAGGGTACAGGCACAGTTCTGGCTGCTTTTTCTGTATTCTCAAAGCTTTTAAGTACCTACTATTACTATGAGACAGGACACACTGATTTATTTCAGGTAGTAACCATAACAAAACATAATTTGGAAAAAAAGTCAAGTTTGAGAATTAGTGACTTTGTTTTTCTCTGGAAGATTTCCTCACTTCTAAAGTCTTGAAAGGAATTCTTGGCAGTAACTGTAGTGTACGTCGTGAGGAAATTAACTGGTGATATGTTAAAATTAACATATGTCATGAGTACTGCCAGTCACACAGCTGGTTGTTGGTTCTCACTATACTGGAGGCCACAGCTTCCTCTGAGCAATGGTGTCAGGGAGTCAGTGGTCCTGGGAGCCCTTCCATCCTCTTCTCTGCATTTCCTTGCTTCTCCACATGTTGCCATGGACGCCATACTTTGTTGCCTGCAGCCATTAACATGCAGACCCTGATGCTCTCACATCCCAGACATTTCTGTGTGTTCCTGCCATTTCTAATCATTTTTTCTATTCTCTATCATTGCTTACTGGCCCCAGTTCCATGAGAAGACTAACTGAGCAAATAAGTCATCCTAAAGTTAACAGCTGATTGTGACTCACAGGAGGCAGGGGAAGCCAATGATGTAAAACACCCTACTAAGTGGTTGCCACTGCCCTTTTGCCACCTTTCCCCATAATCCTCATATGAGGTTTATTTATTTATTTATGTTTTATTGAAGTAACAATGGTTTACAACACTCCATTTGACTTTGATGTATAGGGTCACAACCTTCAGTTGTATATTATCACACCGTGCCCACCACCCAGGGTCCCCAACCATAGTCACTTAGCTCTCCACCCTCCCCCTCCCCCTCTGGAACCTCAATTCTATAGTTGTATTTCTAGGGTTTGCTATTGGCTTGGTTTTGTCTAACATTTTGCTTTGTTTTTCAGTATTTCTTATGTAAGTGAAATCATCTGGTATTTGTCTTTCTCCTTCAAAATTATTTCACTGAGCATAATCCCCTCTGACTACATCCATGTTGTCAAATGGCAAGAGTTTATCTTTTTTTTTTTAGAAACTGACAAGTATTCTGTTGTGTGTATATAACACATCTTTCTGATGCACTTATTTCTCGTTGGGCACTTAGGTTGTTTCTATAACTTGGCTATTGTAAACAGGGCTGCAATGAACATAGGAGTGCAAACATCTCTTCAAATTAGTATTTTTGTCGCATACTTCCAGTAGATACCTAGGAGTGGGACTGGTGGGTCACATGGTCGATCTGTTCTTTATATTTTGAGGAATGTCCATACAGTCTTGTCTAGGGGCTGGACTTGTCTACATCCCCACCAACAGTGTAGGAGGATTCTTTCTCCACATCTTCACCAACACTTGCTTCAATATGGATCATCCTCACAGGTATGAGGTGGAACTCACTGTGGTGGTGATCTGCATTTCCCTCACTCTATATGTGATGATGAGCATTTTGCCATGTGCCTGTTCTCCATCTCTATGTCTTCCTTGCAGAAGTGTCTATTTGGTTCTTCTTCCCATTTCAGGATTGGGGGCTTTGTTTTCTTTTTGTTGTATTAGTTCTTTGTTGATCTTGGATATCAGCCTCTTGTCAGATGTATAGTGTATAAATAATTTCTCCCATTCAGCAGGGTGTCCTTTTGTACTTTAGTGAAAGTTTCTTCCCCCCACTGTGCAGAAGCTTTTTAGTTTGACTTAGTTCCAGTAGTTTAAATCTTCTTTTGCTGTTGGAGATGAATCCACAAAGATATCACTGAAGCCTATGTCATGGTTTCAGCGTGTGAGGTGGCCAAAATGTTCCTGGGAGCCCTACCGTACATTTCTAGGATTGCCTATGGTTTCTTCTATGTATTTTATGGTTTTAGGCTTTACAATAAAACCTTTTATCCATTTTGATTTGATTTTTGTGTATGGTATGAGATAGTCTAGCTTCATTCTTTTGCAAGTGACAGACCACTTTTCCCAACACCATTTATCGAAGAACCTTTCCTTTCTTCAAAATATATTCTTGACTTCTTTCTTGTAGATTGATTTTCCATAAAACTGTGGGTTTATTTCTGGTCCCTCAATTCTATTCCAGTTGTCTGTGTGTCTGTTTTCTAGTTTGAACTCTGGGAGTGTGATGCCACCATTCTTCCTCGTTTTTCTGACAAATTGCTTTAACTATTGTTTAACTAGTGTTTTTGTTGTTCCATATGAACTTCAATAAAGTTTGTTCTACTTCGTTAACGAATGACAGAAACTTTATAGGGATTACAGTGAATCTGTATATTCCTTTGGGGCAGATGGCTGTTTTAGCAATGCTAATTATTCCAATCTATGAGCAGGAAAATGCTTTCCATT